GCAAGGCACCCCCCCCCCCGCATAATATTCCATACTAGAACCCAAAAGTTTATGCAGAATCTCAATTCATTATCTTAAAGCAAATATGACTTTATTCACCAAAACAGATGAGTTATCAACGAATTGTTTTGAAATTACTGTGCTGAGCTTTTATTTTTACTTTAAATTAGACTCATAAATGCTATAAAGCCGGGTTCTGTGAAGAAGATTAATGAGGGAACAACTATGGCCTTCAAGATTATGGAGAACATCAATGCCTTCGTTGAAGCTATTAGATCCTATGGTGTTCCAACAGCTGATCTTTTCCAGACTGTGGATCTTTATGAAAAGAAGGATATCGCTTCAGTAACAAAGACCATTTTTGCTCTTGGTCGTACAGTAAGTTGATCTTCAGTCGGTATACTCAATTAAATCAAATCGCATGTCGGGTTCTTTTTTTTGACTCTGGGGGTAATTACAAAGCTTGAGGGGAGTTTGATGTCTCTGTTCTTAAGGCTATTTTAGTGAATTTTGACTTTCAAGTCTCCAAGCCCTTGCTTTTGTAAACACGGAATTACAACGATCACAGTGAGGGACATTTTATTGAAAGATGCGTTGGAAACTATCTATTTATCTCTCAGTAATTAGACTTCCTACTGTCTAGACGCCTAATCGTTTCACTTTATCATTCGTGCGTATGATGAATTCTTTTTTGTGGTTGTTCTAGAATACTCTGCTTCCCAGTTATACAGTGACAGGGTATTAATTAGTGAAGTAAAAGTTAGGAATGCATTGTGAAGAAATACTATCGATATTCTATACATTTATTTTTTATTTATTTTATTTTGTTTAAGACTTTACAGTTTACTCACCGTGTCTAGTAGCAAGACATAGAGACATAAAGTGTAAAATGCATTAATATTGTAATATGTAGTTTACTGAACTCTCTCATTCTTGTGGTAACTTTGTAGGTAATGATATTTATGCTATTGACACGATAACTGCATTACTTTTATTGATAAATTCAGACCGAAGTATAAACATTCCTTCAAGTTGTTTGCAAAGATGAAGAGAAATGTCAAGGAAATTTGGAGGTCAGGACATGTGAGGGGAAATATAAAAGTACTTTTGCTGATGTCAACAAAAACAAAATCAGCAGGCTAGCGCGAAAAAACGATTTCGAATGTCTCCCGGAGGCTTGTGGTTTCGACAAAAAGCCTGTAGTTCATAACTTAAGCAACCATTGAAACAAAATGTCATTGCAGTAACGTAAAAGTTCCTTCTGTGATTCTCTTGAAGCAACCACTTTGCACCGACAACTCATGTTAACCGAGTCTGTCAATTTCCATATTATGGGCTTCTCAAGGTTGTTGTTTTTTGCTCTACCCGCAAGACGCAGGGGTCAACGAAAACGTCTGCCTATTCGAGTCAACATGAGGTGGCGGTAGAAAGTGAACTTCAACATAGCCTCCTTTTGTCTACCATGTGTTCATTAACCACCTACAACTTGAAAATAGTATCACGGTGGATGAAGTCTGACATTCTGACATTCAACAGCCATGAAACAGCATCAGCATGCCAGACTGGTGTTTTTTTCGAAAACTATGACTTTTTTCATTTCAAGGCTTTTAAATTTGCTGATTTGAAACTCTTAGCTTAGCATTCACATTGACCTAGAACGACTTATGGAAATAGAATTATACTCTGAAGGGCATAATTCTAAACGCGGAATTGGTTGATTTGAAGTCAAATAGAGTTTTTGTAACTACATTTGTCCCTCTAATTGCAGTGCCAGACTCACCCTGAGTACACTGGTCCAACACTCGGTCCCAAACTCGCCACAGAGAACAAGCGTGAGTTCACCGAGGATCAACTTCGTGAGGCACAGAATGTGGTGAGTCTCCAGTATGGATCAAATAAGGGCGCTAGCCAAGCTGGTCTCAATATGGGCAAACAGCGCATGATCATGGATTAAAACAGTGGTAGAGTGGAGTCTACTTCGGAATAATTTTTCGCCATACACCTTTGATTTTCTTTCCTCTAAATCCCTCAACGTCTTTTTCTCCGGACTTTTTATTCTATCTTCCATGAGTTGGACCCATCTTTTTTTGCTCTATTCATTACAGCTGAATTCTATTTGTCTGTACTAATCTGCGTTTTTGTTGATACAATTAAATTAAAGCATTTTTCGGGACCTATATCAATATAATAATGGCGTTTATTGAGGAAATTTGACGATAACGCGCCAAAATAGATATTTGAGTTCATATTTAAGGGAGGGAGGGGAGTGTGCGATAGACTTACCTCCACGTGGTCCTCCCTGGGCAACGTATACTCATACGGCAAAAGTCTGCTAACCGGCAGTTGACTTCTGACTTCAAACTACCATCACCCCACTGTATGTCATATTCGACTACTTCCATAGTACTCACCTCACCTTTTTTCTACCTTTGAGTCCTCCTCTTTTACATCTTTGAAGCACCCTTCTGTCTCCCATCTCGACTTTTTGTCACTTTGATGTCCCTTTTCCACTTCATGAAGCCCCGAAGTCAGCTCCAGGGCTAATGATAACTATCAAAACGCCTGCCATTTGATATAAATAAATAAATCATGACTGAAAGGATGGACGACAAAAAGGCGCTACAGGAATATTGGAAGAAAGAAGCGAGCAATAAAAGAGAAAAAAGTGTAAAAGAAGTTATAAATTTTATGAAACAATTCCGAGAAGAGCTTGATCCTGAATAAATTCAATAACTAAGCAACGACATTCTCATAAATGGAAGCTTCCCTTGATATATCAAGCTCGAACAAGAATCACAAAGGCAATTCGAGAAAAGTTAGCTTTAAATAAATTAATAAATATATAAATTAAAATGAAGATTTCGAATTAATTTCAAGTATTACTGAAATTGTGGGCGTCAAAGTAGTTTTGTTTTAAACCATAGCATCTGACTCAGATGAAAGTAGAATTTACCACCAATTCAACAAGAATACTCAGGAGGGTTGGTTACACCACTGCATGTGCAACCCCCCCCCCCTCACCCCCTTCAAGAAAAAGACTTTGATTGTGCATACTTGAAATCTGTTGTTCCACTAAACCAACATAATACATACCATGCAAAACTTTTCAAAAAAAGTAATTTTAACTAATAAAAAAGCCCTCTTGGGGAATGGAGGAAGAAAATGGAGCGGCAAACATGCCACACACCCCGCCTGGTTAAGACCACTAGGATAAGTTGGCTCGATAGATAGCTAGAACTTACTCCAAAATGATTTCTCCTCCTAGTAAAATAGAATAGAGGATTGCAAAACAGTGGAAATAGGCTCAAATGAAGGAAGCAAGTGACAACCTACTGAAAGTTCACTGGACGCTAGTTGAATCGGTACGATTTAGGAACTAATATATTTTCTCTTTACAACACGCGCGGCCCTTGTCAAAGTGCCAAGCCAAAATGAACCCAATTTACCGGTGGAATTGACTATTTACCTTCGCAGTGGAGTTTGACCCACCATTTGGAGTTATGCAAACAAACGACTAAGAATTCCCCATAAAAGAGAAAGAATATTTTGCGAGACTAAGTGAACAGGTAGTGAAGCCTAAAACACCTAGAATATACACATCGGGAAGACAACCTTCTTTAACCCTGATTTTAACGACAAGGTTTGTATTGAATTTCTCTTTCAAAATTTTATAGATATGGAAACTAGTTTAAAGAAAATCTTTCAAATTAAAGCCAACACAGAGGCAACAGAAGCGCACTAGAATTCGAAGAGAAGAAGTAAAGATGGAACAGAACATTTCGCGTCATCTTTACAGTCGATTCCTAACATGAAACAGGAAGATATTAACAGCGCCAGTTAATACATGACCAAAATTTTACCTCACAAGAATCAAGTAAAAAGGAATGTGGGCCCTTGAACAAATGTTTCTCTTTCAGATTAGCACTTTGAAAGTAAGTGCATTAAGTACAATAAAGCTACCGAAAATGGGGCGAAGAAAGAGAATCAATTAGATTTACGTGTACCTAATCTCTCCCACAACATGGAATCCCGTAGTATCGCTTCAGACATTTATCGCCAATTGACTTCCGACTACTGCAGGATATTTGCCTCCGTGCAGTATGATTCAAATGGCATGTTTTTAGGGGGGAGGGGGCGGGATAGACTTACCTCCACGTGGTGCACCCTGGGCAACGTATACTCATACGGCAAAAAAGTCTATTAACCGGCAGTTGACTTCTCACTTCAAACTACCATCACCCCACTGTATGTCATATTCCACCACTTCCACACTACTCACCTCACTTTTTTGCCACCATTACATCCTTAAAACACTCTTCTG